GTCGACGACCCTCCGCGTTCTGTTCGAAGGCGGAACGGAGAGAACGGTACAAGAGGAAACTATGCTCGTGGACGAAAATACTTGGCAGTTTTCGGTTTAGAACGATAGAAGAATCGTTTCAGTTTAAGCGACGAAGAAATTGCTGAGAGGAAAAGAGGAATTTGCTCTAGATTACGGTGAGTTTTCTACTTCGTTTTTATTTTCTCGTTACTACCGCTTCGATCGACGCTTTGCCATGTCACTCGACCATGGGTGACGCATGAATTTCTATAGAAACTTGTGTATCATCGGACGTTCGAGGGTGCATTCGATGAAAGGAGTCGAATCAAAATTATGAAAAGTAAAAATAACCTGTTGATTGGAACTTGCGACATGTTCCATGCGAAAATGTCGAAGCGAGAAAGACGTGGAACGCGAAAAAATATCCGAGGCGGAAACGGTACTTGAAAAAAGGGTTTAGACGTTATGTCACTGTATAATTTGCACGAGCAAACTCGTTCGCTTTAATGCTTTCCATTAACGAGAGGCTCGCACACGCGAAACTGTAGGAAGAGCATCGTTTCGGAGTTTGCGCTCGTAAAGCTTATTTATGATGCGTCGCGGAAATTGTACGAGTTCGATACGAGCGATATTTATCGAATTTCGAGTCGTCCGTAATATCCGCGCAAAATTCTCCATCTTCTAGATTTTAGAAAGCAATGTAAAATGTATCGTAATCGTACACTGTGACGTAAATCGATATCGCAAGTTTTGCCGTTAGCTTCGATCGTGATTCCAGCGATACGCGAAGGGGTGGATTTCCATTCTCGATACTCTCCTGCATAATTCTGTTTGCCAATACTGTTAACGCGTCTCCAGGATTTTCGCTAACAAATTCTGCAACCAGAAATACCACGGTTCACGTACGCGACTCGACGAGAGGTTGGTCAGAAATTCGAACAGCAGGACGCATCGTGAATGTAAAGCGTAGCATAGGCTGTCGCGGAATGTCATTTATCGGTCATTGGAATCGAAAGGCTCGGTTTTGCGAATTGCGGTTTTGTTTGCTCGTGCATATCCTTAATTGCTTCGGTTTGCGGACCTATCGATTGCTCGCGTTAACGCGATCTCGAATTCAGAACGCGAAACCGCCTCTTGATTGGCATTAATCAAGTGCTTAGGCACGTGCACTCGTCGTTGATCACTATTTGTTCGAGAGTATCGACGCGTTTTCGTCGGCGAAAAACGGGTATTAGCTACGATATCGAGTCGTCGCGTGTTCCGCTGCTTTTTGTTCGTTTTCAACGGCATTGCACAGAGAACGTCGCGAATCGCAACGCTCCAGTGACACCCAGTTGGCAAGCTTTTACCGAAATCAGCTCTTTCGCACGGATCAGCCTGAACGTCGTCACGTATATATATAGAAACTATTGGAACTGGGTCGGCAGCTTTTTTCTTCGTACCGCAACAATGTTCAGTTCGTATTCGATCCGCCAAACTCTTGGCCCGCAGGAAATTGCATCTGTTTTATTGGCATTCTACTGGAGCACCAAAGTTTCCTTCGCGTTCGGTCGTTCGTCTTCCTCGCAAAATTCAGTGGCTCGATCGTGCGCGAGAAAAAGAGTACCGACAGTGAAGTAAAGAGAAAATTTCGTCAAATAAAATATATAGTTCTCGTACGATAAGCGCTACCGTTAAATTTAATCGTTTCGATTCGATTCCTTAACGGCCAGAAGTTTATTAATCGGTTTTCTGGAAGAAAGCCTATCGATCGCGCCTGATACGGTTAGCGAAACTCGATCGAAGATTTTATCGAAGCTTTAATATTCTCGTCGAACTTGTATCGGAGTTTTTCGATCGATGCATCAGAAGTTGGCAAACTGCTTAATCTCGCCGCTGAAACGTAGTCTGCTCGTGCTCTTCGAATACGCGATCGCATACGTGTTGTACGTGTACACATAGGCGCACACTGTTCCCGGTTTAATGTACGGTGTCCCATAAGGTTCATATATCTCTCTTTACAACCAGGAAACGAGTATGGTCCCTTTGCAACGAGCCACATTCATAAATCCAAAGGGAAGCCGACCTGGCTGGAAAAACATTCTCGCGTGCTCGCGTTTTTTCGACGCAACAATTTCAGCTATTTCATTATTCGAACCGAACAAATTTACCGCGGATAAAAGTTCTAACACGCGTTGTTCTCGATGTTACGTCGAAGAGGATAGAAGCCACTCGACGTTTTACAAATTCTACCCTCCTTTATCGTACATCGGTTCCGCGATATAAAAGCGGATGCAATTTCGCGGTAGAGAAATCTTTTGTATCTTCAATTTTTCAACCCTACGTTCTCTAGTCGAAGCATCAATCTTTCCCAATTCCCGTAGATTCCGGCTATTGAAACGAATCGCTACTCGAGAGGTCGCAAACCGTGGTATTTAATACCTTCGAACCGCGTTGGCGAACAAAAGGCCGAAAATACGAAAAGCGATAACTCTCAGAAGTTATAAATATTTCGTGTAACTCGATTGGTTCCAGCGGAACGATTGTGTGCCTTTGACGAGTGAATTTTTAACGAACTTAGGTTCGCTGACCCGAGCTGCCTTTTCGTTCAATTTTTTCGAATTCCGCGCGAACGTTCGTTATCCGCTGGCCAGCAGCGAGCAATTAGCGAACGCGTTGTCGCACAGCAATTATCGGGATCACGCGATTCCGGCTCTAGGACAGATTCGAACGTTTCGCGAGATTCGGTAAAGAGCTGGTCAAAGGGTCATCCGGTGTATCGATTGACGCTCGCGAGCATGCTAGAAACGAGTTGAACGGGGCAAGCGCATCGACGAAAATGTACGGAAGCGGTCATTGTCTTCGCGTCACGACGTTTACGACGGTCTTTCGATTACCTCGTTAGTCCCGAGAGAAACTTGTTCGAGAAACAGCGGTAGAAACGTTTGGGAACGCGTCCAATTCGAACGTAAAATTTCGTAACCTTTCCTCCGGACTCGACACGCGATCGAATCGTCCGGACAAATTTTCCTCGCGTTCGCCGTAATTTATTCGATTATTGGCGACCCACCGAGAGTATGCTAGTAATCGTTTTCATCGTGAAGCGTCGCGAAAGAGAAACAATTTTTCGAGACTAGGTTCGACTCGCATCGGTAAAATTTCGAGCGAGTACGAAGAATCGAAGAGAGAAGAGTAATTGGAAAGAAAAAGTATCGTGTCCTCGGATGTTCTCGAGGCGTACGTCTCTGTCTCGTTGTCGTAATTTATTTGATGGGATTGATGCCGCTCACGGGAGCCCATAACTTTCGTCATTTCTCCAATCAGGTGGAAGACCACCTAGAAAAGAACCGGAGAAATTCTCGTCGATGTAAGGAGCGAACGCATGTAAATCACGTGACCCCTATCCGGGACACCGAACGGAAGTACAGGAAATTTTCGCGAATTCTACGATGTCACGACACTTTCTTATTTCGTGCATGCCGAATTATTGTTTCTCCTTTCGAATGAAATGTTCCGCGATCGTCGCGGAATTCGTCGACGGACGTAAACTTAGGAGAATAGACAAAGTTGTATCGAACGTCTCCACTGTTTCGCAGGAGGATCGACCACGATGAACATTTCATCGCACGCGAAAAGGGGAGCGGTAGGGAGACCGAATGGCCTGCATACGTAATACGCCTTCTTAGCTAATATAGGCCGGTTTGATTTTGGGGCCATGCGACTCTCCTTAGGCCCTCTTGCCGACGTCGAAGTCTCTGTTTCTCTTCTCGATAAAGTTTCAATCTACCGATATTACCGCTGGTATCGTCTGTGCTTTCCAAGCAGACCATCCGTTGGAGCTGACAAATTTTCTTCATAAAAGCGCGATTAGTAACGCACACATTCGACTTCTTTAAGGACGCGGCTATTTTTATCTTATCGTATACGAACCGTAACAATGAATGATTTCTGACATCGAGATCGAGAATCGATTCTTCCACGAGTGTGGATCCGTGGCTGCAGGAAGGACACGATGATCGGTTCGGACACCGATGCACGCGCGCGCGCACCAGGAGATTTCGCAGGCGTTTACACGCGCGTTCACACGCGCACGATAACCTTGTGTGGTCCACGGGAGAGAGAGATAAAGTGAAACCATGATGGGGCCACGCTGTCTCGCGATTCAACCTCGATCTCAGGGCCGTCCGCGCCGCGTCGTTTCTTCCCGCTCCGGTTTTCATATTCCCTTCCCTTCTCTTTCCCTTCCCTTCTCATACCGTTCCCGTGCTTCGCCCTTCTCTTAAATAAAAAAAGTCCGCTTAATTCGCTTACATTATACCTTAATGTACCTTAATATCTTGACGTTAAAGTTTTACGAATTGCGAGCTAGTGGTTCCATCCTCTCGATTCCCACGCCGTGTTGCCTCGATCGTCGAAGCGCAGCCGGCAAGAAAAGTAATTAGGGTCAACGATTCCCGCAATTTCGTGCTTTACGTTGCAGGGAACGACATGTTCATACGCACATACAATTTTCGAAGCGTGCATATCGTGCTTAGCACGGTGCTTGATGAACCGTGCGTGTCTCGATTTCGAACGATTCGACTCGACTCGCCGTGTTACGTTTCGTATCGTCTCGCCAGAGAACTGTTACGTAAAGCGTTTCCTGCACGCGGAATCGTGAATTCGTGCGACCTTAATATTCGGACGATGCCCGCAACCTCCTCGTCTTTTTCTTCACGATCGTATCCCTATTCTTTGTTCTATTTTTCTCGTGGCAAATCGACAACCTTGTCAAGAGATACAAATACAAGACACGCTAGATCTGGACGAGCGAAACGGATCAAAGCCGAGATCTCTCTTCTTGACAGGGTTTTCCGTTCGATCCTTGTCGTTCGAAAAACAATTTCTCGCAAAAAACTGCGAACGATTCGCTTCGACTCGATCGACCGACGCGATCATCGTTCGATCGTTTCGTTTTAACCGCGACAACGTTCTCGACCCCGATCGAAATCGAGTTCCCGATTCGGAATCAAACGATCGAGAACAAGCGATCGAGCGCTCTGGCAATAACTTTCTAACGATGTAAACGGTAATTATATATTGTGCGTAGCCAGTCGGCGAGAAGAGATAATACGCACGGGCTCTTCCTCCGCGTTCGTTGTTTGTTACAACCTCGTTTTGTCTGGACCGACGGTCACCGCGAACAAACGCGTCGCTGCTGACGACGACGGATCGAAAATTCGATTTCCACGAGGATAAGTGGCGCGTACGATCGGATCGATCGAGGACAAATCACCGTAGGAATTCGTGGAAAGTAATCGATTTGGAGAGACGAGCGATTACGCGGTGCATAATTGCCGGGGAACATTCCGCTTAGTCGATCGCGATGGCACGAGGTAGCTCACAGCGGCATCTCCGCGTCTACTTTCTCCGGTCTTTCCGTTTTCCTTCTACGTCCCCGAGGCGTTCGGTATGCTCGCGCGTCCATAAATTATAGTTAAGCGGAGAGATACCGACTCACGAAACAGGTAACCGAACGTCAAGAGGTTTCGGTGTTCGACCGTGACCTTTCGGCGTTCGCTCGACAAAGAACAATTTGATCGACTCGATTCGAACTTCCGTCGTCGCTCGATCGCACCGAGAGAGACGCGTTCGCGAATGTTGCGCTCGGAAAATCTGCAAGAGGACTCGATTACGGCGCGTTCGATCGGACCCTCGCGCTTCAAGGTCGAATCACGCCGAATTCGAAGGCGGTATCGCAGAAGGCGGCATTCTTTGCTCGCTCGTCCATGTCTGAGCACGTTCTTTCTTCGGGAATCTTATTCCAGAGAGAGAGGAGATCGGCGCCCGAAGCATCGTCTACCGTTACCACGTGTCTCGTCTCTCTTTCTCTCTCTTTTCCGTTCTTTCGCCGTGGCTCTCCCTCTTCTTCTCTCGATAGGCCGCGATCGCACGTGCAAATACGATGGAAACCGCTCCCAACAGGCTTTCCGAAACCCGTGGTTTCGATCGGCAAACATCCCTCGGTACGACCCACTTTCGGCCCCCGAATCTTCGCCGCTTCTTTCCTCGCGCTCTGCCGTAGGTACCGTCGTCGACCTACGACCTTGGACTCGAATCGACGATGATTCGAGAAACCTCGGAAGCGCTCGAAACGCGGCTCGATCGAGGATATCGCGGAGAAAGGTGGGAAGGATTCGAAGGACTCCTCCTGGTCCGCGTTCGCGAGATTCTGTTATCGGTAAATAGAAATCGGGGAGCAGGTGAACCGGTGAACCGTTGCGCGTTGGCAAGACGATTTGCGCGTGGCTCGGGTGAAAGTATATTCCAAAGCGTCGTTCCTACGTTTTTCGAGTCGAATTTATGAACGCAAGGAGTTTCGGCTCCGGAGAATTTTGAGCGGTACTCGGCTGACCACTCCCCGGCTCCCCCATCTCCCTCGTTCCTGGAATTTATCTTAATAATTTCGATGCAAACGCGGAAACGAGAGAATACTCTTAAAAATCAGCAAGCGGTAATTAATTCGTAATTTGCTGTGAATCCACTTTTCGTTCGTATCGAAAGCTCCCGTCGATTCTCGCGAATCAATACGCGTATAATTTCCTCGGCGACGTCGTTCATCGTCAGCGATTACGCCGCATATTTATAGACGTGTCTCGCCTAGATAAACGCCGTGTCTATATTGATTTTGCAGAAACGCCACGTAAACATAGTTGGTAGAATCGGATTTCGCTTTCTTCCAAAGGACCCGTGAAAGTATCGCGAACGCGATAGTTAGCGTTACGGTCCTCGGCGAATCGGGGCGTTCGAAGATCTAACGTTCTAACCAGAGACTATGCGGATCCGTGATAATTTCCTCGGCCGATCCTCCCACTTTCTCGATACTCTCGATTCACCCAGGATACGCGCGTACTCTCGTTATCGATCGTATCGCGAAGGATGAAAGTCGCGACGACTTGGAGAGACGCGGTGTCGCGTTCCTCTCGATTCGTTCGAAAATTATTCTTACTTCGTAAGAATTGTTCCGGTACTCGTTGCCTCGCTCGGTGCAATCCAATTTTGCTTCTCCTGTTACAGACGATGCCCAGAAGATCGATGGATCTGTGCAAGTGGCTGTTCCTGGCGGGACTGGTGTGCTGTTCGTCCTGCCAAAGCGTTTCGTCCACTTTCGAAAACAGGACCGGTGAGTGAACGATTTTAATCGAATACAAGTACCTTGACCGTTCGATCACGGTTGGACACGCGGTTCGGTTCAAAGTAAAGTCGAAGATATAACGTTTCTTGGGGAGACGAAGAAAAATGCCGCCGCAGCGAACCGAGTTCGTTTAGCATGTAGAATTGATCGAACGCTAGATTGCCTTGCGACAGACTTTGCGGATGCTTCGATCGACATACTGCAGGAAGCTGCGGAAAGAGGCTCGAATTGGCACGATCGCGTCAGCTGGAGGCCGACCTCGAGTCTTCCCGCGGTGTTCGAGAGACGTCGCGTTTCAAAAATGCATTCGCCGACTCTCGCCGCTCTTAAATATTTAAGGCCGACACCTCCGGTTCTAACTATTCGGGAAATACGTATCGCTGTCGCCTGAGAAATTTTGCGTACGCGTGTCCGCGTAGCTTAGCGTGTGCGTCGGGTCAGTAGGTCACTCAGCTCGGTGTTAAAAGAACACTCGCTCGTATCGATACGCGTGCAGCATAGGGAAACGCTCGTACTCGTCCGTTTCACGCGTACACGGACGCCAATGCGTCGAATAGTAATCCGTCGTTAACTAGTTGTTCGTCGGAGAATAGCGAATTGGTTCCAACGTTGATCGCTGAAACAGGAAAATTCGTCTCGCCTCCAAAGCAGACGTTACATAAAAGACGAGGGCGAAATCCAAAAAGTAAACGCACGAGGAGACACGCGACGCTTTCGAAGTTTGCGTCATCGAGTTCTGCTCTCGATACGCTTCGCGTTTGCTCAGCCGCGATGCCGGTCGCGTGCCAGATCTCGCTTTCAGCATCCTTTCGAGCAACGCGAAGCGTATCTCCCTCTAGATCTTAGGAACCAACAAAAGAATAACAGAGCAAGTATTTGATATCCGAGAAATGGCATATCTGTCACGCGTCTCGATGTACGCTCTTTTCGCGAATCTCCGACATTGTCTACGAACCGTTTCGTAAAAATGAAAAATACCCATCCCGGTAATTAGTTGTCATCAATGCAACTTTAAACGACTACATTCTGGCAACAATAAATCCGGGACACGGGAGAAATTCGTTGGCTAGCTCGAAACGTAAGCTCTTAACCTTAATGAATCTGTGCTCGCTCGTTTACCAATGGAGCAGTTTCGTCGGAAACAATCGGCCGTTTGTACCTTCGTTCGTTTCCAATCTTTAAAATGTCCATCTCTTCGCGTATATACGTTCGTCGTTGTCTAGGATGAAGCACGGTTCATCGAATCCCTTGAACAAAGTTCGCGAAAAAGAACAATTCGCGGGTCTCTTCGCGAGATTACTTTGGCATCATCTTTCTGGATGTCGCGTCGCGCTGAACGCGCCTTTGCAAAATGGACCAGATACGGTTCGCGAAACTTTGGGGCCGCGCATCTAGCCGAGTACTACGCATAAATGGGACGCGAGCATAGTCGACGAATACGCTCGTTTCCGTAGATCCAAGTTCTTATCGAACGCGTATCCATTCTCGTAACCAGCAATCGAGACGACGTACCTGTGAGGTATTAATTATTGCTTCGAAACGACGATGAAGAGTCAGTGTGTAGGTATAAGATTAGCTACTTTTTAGCATTGTCCTTTGATCGATGTCGGTGCGTTCGCAGTCGTAATCCGCGCATAGAATAGGTCGAGTTTCGACGGCAAATACGGTCGAGTACGCTTACGAGGAAGTTGACGGATAATGGCTCTCGAGAGCTCGCGTTTTCTCCTCGCATTATCGAGTCGGTCGACGTTTCTATTTCTACGAGTGCCATTAATGTGCTCGCGCGTCAGACGCAGCTGCGTGCAGAATGCGCCGAGGCGCGTC